TAAAGGAGTCCAAATCAATAGTGTTTTATCCTTACATTCTTCACGATCGAGTCTTGGAAACCGACAACGCAAAAACAATACCACGCACGGAGCGACTCGCGCCACTGCTTGCCGGCTCGACGTTCGGCGAGCGAGTGCGAGCGCGGCGACCTTCAGGTACAATGATGGTACGCAAAAACATCGTACGTCACCGTGCCGAGTGAAAAACAACAAAAAAACGTTGAGAATTCGTTGGCCTATCTACGTAATGGAAATTCCGTACTTATCACTCGCTCGCCGAACGTCGAGCCGGCAGGCAGCAGCGAGAGTTGTTCCGTGCGTGATATTATTTTTACGTTACTGGTTTCCAAGACTCGATCGCGAAGAATGTAGGGATAAAACGCTATTGATTTGTACACCTTTATCAGTGACAAGTAACGTTACTCGATTAATTATTAAGATTCTAAAACTTGTAATGTGAGAAACGAATTGCATGTTGAACGTGTACATAGATATTTCACGAGACCAACTCATCTAAAACATGAAAGTAAACCGTGGTACGTACTTTGTCGCCGTTACATCTCGTTTACGCACCGCGCTTTTAACTATCTATCGATTTCGTGTAATCTGTTCCATTTTCGGGAAGAGAGAGATATTTGTGCGACTTCGGTGTTCGCGCTGTAATTCGCTCTGTCGTTCTTCGCAACTGGAACGGGCAGGAAGTAAAGAACGTCGCTTACTGCATTTCATGGTATTTTACATCGCGTACGGGAGTGTCCGAAATTTCGCGCTATCGATTTTCGCGAGTGAGTGTGTGAGTGTAAGTACAACAAGAAAATCTGAGAGGAGGAGCAGGCTTAGGCGGCATCAGGCAACAGCAGAGAAATCGTAAGGTAATTGTCTTACATTTTTGTTATTTGCTAATTGTGCAAAATAAAGCATCTGTTCTGTGCTTTTATTTTATTTATTCAAATGATTCGAACGTGGATTCGAATAAGTGTTAGAGACAAAACCATACGTATAAAATTTTGTGAGTTCATATTTAAAAGGAAGACTTTCAGTTCTATGTATATAATTATTTTAATAAATACCTATTTTCAAAAATATTAAATATAAAGTATATTTAACACAATAGTCTGGATTTTACATAATTAGTCTATAATAATCGTATATATTTTTGTATTGTGACAGTTTAACATGTATAGTTAGCGATGTACAACTTTGCTGTTGCGAACCGTATCAGTGAGTGACAAATTACTTTTTATTTTAAATTGACGTTGCGCATACAATGCTTGACCACAAATTACGCGCGCGAAGCGCGCGTTTTATCGTTTCTAGTAATAATAAAAAGCAAAAGAAATTTTAAAAAGTTTTTCAAAATTTACGTAAATATACATATACATATACGTATTGTTTTTACTATTTGAAATATGTTTCATCCATTTTACGACGATTTGAGCAAAATGGGGTTGCAAGATAAAAAATTATACATATAACAAAACTAATTTATAATGGCCAATGGTAATGTCTCATTAAATAAGATAAATTCTAAAATTGCCAAAATTTTGAAATTTGGCAACCACATACTAATATTATGGGTTTAGTAGTTTGGTACAAAATGAAACACTTGTTGAAAAAATAACATTGCATCGCAAGGCTCGCCTGCTTGCGTCCCTTACAGAAGTGTAACAATTGGGAACGAAAAACGTGCTGAACAGTTACTAGAGTTCAGTAATTGAATTTTTAGAAATTACTGATGTACAGTAATTATCTAGTAATTACTTTGCTTATACATATTTCTATAAGGGATGTAATGCAACGCAAAAATTTTCTTCTTTATAGACACGTACCTTACGTGCCTACTAGCGTTCGCACTTATTTCTCTTGAGAGAAGCTGAAACTACTTGACAACAAATAAAATATTACATCCTACAATGCAGCGGCTTTTTTAAAATAATAAATTATTTTACAAATTTAAATATATTTTGTTTATGTGCAAGGTAATTATTGAGATAATTCTGAAAAGATTGCTAATGTTAAAAATCGTAAAACAGACTGTCATAAAGCGAGTTTCTTACTGAACTAAAACTAAAAAAATTTGTACGGAAGGGCGAAAATTTCAAGTTTCGCCACTGCCTCACGTTACTGGCAATGAGAGTATATATACATACTTTAAACAACGCACCTGGTGATTCTTTGCAGTTTTACATTTGCTCTTATACTGGGCGCTAACTCTCTGTGCTTCGTGGAATATACATAAAATTTTACCTCATCCGGGGTATTTCATTTTTCGTAATCAATTTTCTACAGTGATTTTTAATAGGATGTGTATTAGCAAAAAAATAAAATTGTTTATTTAATGTCGATTATTTAATTGTCAATTTAAATATGTGAATTTACTATTCTAACAAACAATGGGACCGTGTTTCAAATCCGACAAAAAATCGGCGCACAGTTTATTGAGTTTGGAATAAGTATATGAAGGCTTATACGCAATATGTTACGACTGGACAATCAGCTCCGACCGGTAATTGGTATTTTTTAGTTGATTTAAATTTTTATCAGTTTTATACACTTACTTCCTTTATTACGTTCAATGTGTTTTAATGTTAATAAAATTTAACCTCGCTAGTTTCTATTGAAAAATTTATAAAAATTTAAACAAACTAGTGCATATGCAATCATGTGCATACCGATTATTATTTTTCAATTTATGCGGGTGTATTTGTAGGAATTTTAATAATAATAACTACTTTTATCAACTGTAAAAAAAAGACTACAAATTATTCCCAACTCAGTGCTCATTATGCCTGTTTCTGCTTGCAGCTATAAAAACGAGTTACCTCATGATAAGGATTTCAAGTTATTATATTGCTGACAGTTAAGGCTTTTCATACAAACTTTCTTGCAATTTAGAGTTGAAAATAAGTTGACTCAGTGATAATATGAAATCCATATTCCTTGTGCTTATAAATATTATGATTTTCCCAGAAGGAAGGTTGCAAAATCTTCAAAGCATATTCCTAGACCTTCTCATTCCTAAGGAACCTGGTTTAACGAGAGTAAGAAAAATGGATCTGAGGGATGGAGCTGAGAGAAGAAATAACGTAAAAGTATTGGATTTTGTGAGTAAGAAATTGTTTTTAATCAAATTTACATGCATTCTTAGTTAAATCAAAACTGTTAGCTCCATGATAAATATACAATTTCATCTATAGATGAAATACAATTTTACTGTCTTGTTAAACCTATAATTTTTAAATTTTGTATAAGTATTTTTTGACATTTAGAACAAATAAAGATAAAAATAGGCATGAAATAACGATACCCTGTGGATATTATACATCACGCTATTCTTTTAAGTAGATTGGCCTGGTGGAACAATACGATTATCCCGCCGAGGAGCATAACGTCACAACAGAAGATGGTTATAATTTGAAGTTACACAGGATACCTGGAAGTCCATCGTTCGATAGCAAGAATAAGAAAGAAATTGTGTTCATCCAACACGGTATTTTGGCTTCGTCTGATAGCTGGGTAGTGTACGGTACTGGTAAAGATCTTGGTATGTATTTAAACTGATAACATACAATTGCTAACGTAACGTGCGAATCCATTCACACAAGGCATCGTGCAAAATTATACCATACGTTTCCGTAAAAACATCTTACATTCAAATCTTCTAACTTGAAAATGATTAATATCTTGCTATTTCTATAAATTTGTTCTTATTAAAATTTTGTCAATTTTTTCTACATACAAAAATATCAATACCGTTTTATTTTATTTTAATATAAACTTTTAAGAGATATTGAAAATGAAGAGCTTTTTCATAAATTTCAAATTTCAAAGAGACATTTATAAAAAATGGTGTGTGTGTGTGTGTGTGTGTGCGTGTGCGTGTGCGTGTGCGTGTGCGTGTGCGTGTGCGCGTGTGTGTGTGTGTGTGTGTGAGATATTTATCTTTTAAAGTGGAATTAACGAATTATAGAATTGGAAGCATAATCAGTACTTAAAATATCATTTTTTCATATTTTAAAGTTATAAAATATAATTGATATTATTTTAAAAATTAAGTTTAAATTTTAGAAAAAATAAAGACATAAATTTAGTATATCAGTACATGTGCACAGTTACATCCTAGAATGCAGTTTATTAAAATCTTATATTGCAGCCTTTTTATTAGTAGATCAAGGATATGATGTATGGATTGGAAATATGAGAGGAAATACTTACTGCAGATCGCATACGAATATGACGATATACGATCCTAAATTCTGGCAATTTAGGTAAAACATTACCATTAAAATTATTTTAAGTAAACAATGGAACAACCTAAAAAATTTACTTTTACACCGTAATTACAACCTGCCTAAAATGACATATTTAAGAAGCAAAAACGATAAAGTAATCATTACTTGTATTTAATAGTATATGTATACCTACTCATCAAGTAATATAAATATAGATTTAGGAGTTTCTAAAAGAATTATTTATATGCAATAAATACGTAACACATCCATGAATGAAAGGATACCAACAAGGTTTGTAAACGTTAAAGTTTGTACAGTATTCTCTTACTAGAGTTTTATTAACCAAATTATTTATCACGAATTTTCTCACTATAAATTGTGCGCGTTTATTATAAGGAGGCAAGGGAAAGTGAGAAAATATGTTTGTAAAATTTTTTATTTACAGCTTTCACGAGCTTGGAACAAAAGATCTACCAGCCATGTTTGATTACATTTTCAATTATACACAGCAAACAGATTTATATTATATTGGTCATTCAATGGGAACAACTTCGATATTTACTCTTCTGTCATCAAAACCAGAATACAATATGAAAATGAAAATGGTTATTTGCCTAGCTCCAGTTGCTTTTTGGACGAAAGTAACACCTTCATTCAATGGAATAGCTAATACTCTTGTATCATTGAAGGTAACTGCTCAAACCTGTCACATTTTATTGCAGCACTAGTCTTTAAAATTCAATATTACACTATCATTATTTTTACCATTTAATATGTTAAAAATAATGTTGTTACTCTGGCTGAGGTAACATTGTTCGTAATAATTTTCTTGAATTGGAATTTGCCAGTTAACGTTGTTTAACAATTTTTCTACTTTGGTTAATCATGTACGTTGTTAAATAATTCTTTACGTTAAAAATATTGTTTGCTATTATGAGCTATTACTTGAATGTTTCTTTTATACGTTTCAGAAAATTTTTAAACAGCATGAAATATACGATGTCTTCCCACAATGTTGGTCGACTATTAAGATAGCAAGAACATTTTGTAATGACAAAGCAATAACTCAAATTATTTGCGTTACTATATTGTTCTTTATCGTGGGTCCTGATCCAGCACAACTTAACACTGTAAGTTATATTTATATTATATACATATAACACAAAAAAACAAATGTAATAGAATGTTAATAAATTATTTTTATTATATAATATAAATTTTCTAATTTTTTATAATTATATACATTCAGAATTTATTTTTACAATTATAAGGCTTGAATAACTTCGTACTTTCTTTTGTTAATTAAACGTTTTATGACTTTTTACCTGTAGAAATTATTTCTGTTATAGACAACCTTGCCAGAAATATTATCCTATTATCCAGCTGGTACTTCTATACAGACGTTCGATCATTATTACCAAAATTTACGTAAAAGTGAGTATACTCACTTCCATAATAAAAGTATTCCCTTTCATAAAGCACAGCTGGTCCCGTTAATGTAATGTTACAGTAAAACATTGGTTGCCATTTTGAATCGTTGAATCGTGGGAAGATTTACATTAATTTATAATTTTCTGCAGATTAATTTACACACATGTGATTACTTAACTTTTTTTTCAAATGTACTGCTAAGTTTTGGATCTTTATAAATCATAGCGATTGTTGCAGATGAGTTTCGAATGTATGATTATGGCGTGGCTGAAAATTATGAGCGATACAAACAGAAAAAACCCCCGAGTTATGATCTTAAAAAGATTACAGCCCCGACAGTTTTAATTTACTCAGATAATGATAATATTGTTCCAGAAGAGGTAATAGTTTTCACTTACCAGATTTTTACTCACTAATAAGAGCAAAGGAAAAATTTTTATAAGTACAACAAAATGATAATATATGATATAGTTCTTAAGACGAATTTCAATTAAATACAATGCAAAATGTAAAAGAAAAACCATTGGTTTATATCAATTTGATGATCTGTTTTCTATATTCTTCATATATTTAAATTATCTCGTTATTAATATTGTTGCTTTCTTCATCTTTTTACTTTTAGAATGTGCTGGAACTTAGCAAACGTTTACCAAACGTTCTTCTAACGGAGAAAGTTCCATATAAACTTTTCAATCACGCAGATTTCATGTGGGCAATCGACGTGAAAACTCTTTTATACGATCGTGTATTAGAACTAATACAAAAGTTTGATGTTAAACAAAATAAATTTCTGAAATGAATCTAATTAATAATGCAAATGAAAAGAAAAGTAGTCTTACCTTTCGTATAGAAATTGGAAAGTTGATAAACGTAGAAGTGTTAACAAAATTAATAATTTACATACATGCCTGTGTATTTTTAAAATTATAATGCTAATATAAAATTTTTAATTATTACGTTAACCTGGTTTAATAATTATATTATTTATTAAAATATTGTTTATTAAAAACAACAGAAAAATTCTATGTCAGACATTTCGGTCACTAAATGTGTGACCCTTTTCAATAACTATTTATTAAGAATTTAAAAAATATTGTATATAATATTGGCCATGAAGACGAGAAAACCGAGTTCACAAAGATAGAATAGCTTTTGCGTCCAATAACAATTTATTGTATATTGCATAAATTTTAAAGTCTGTACTGCATCGTACATCGGATAGCCTGGCAGATTATTGTCAGTCCGTATCAACGAACATAAAAGATTAAACTCTGCTAATCCGTCTGTTATACATGCACATTGCATACATATATTGTTTCGACGTCGATCGACGAGTCATTTACATATGACTGGGTATTTATGCAATATGCATGCTTATGCGGAAAAAATTTTTTACCGAGTACTTGGATCACTCTTGCTTGACTATTCTACTATACAGGTGTTATTTTATCTAGAACATAATGATTACAGTTGTAAAAAATATACAGTTATCAACAACCTTGGAATCTAAAGTTATACTTTCATAAAGGTGAATTCAGAAAAATACGACACGAACCAATGCTGGTACAAGACAATATTAAAACATGCGTTTTAAATGAGACTATCTACAGTAACCGCGCGTTCGGGCAATGGAACAGTGGTGTTGGTTTGTGTAGACAGTCTCACTTAAAACGCATGTTTAGTATTTATGGTAACCTTGAAAAATTTGTTCTAACTTTATTAAACGAAAGTAATGAAAAAAGTCTTTCAAAAGTTACGTAAAAGGAATTATTTTTATTATTTGAAATAGTGAAAAACTAAAAACAAGTTGTACGGAAGGGCGAAAATTTCAAGTTTCGCCACTGCCTCACGTTACTGGCAATGAGAGTATATATACATACTTTAAACAACGCACCTGGTGATTCTTTGTAGTTTTACATTTGCTCTTATACTGGGCGCTAACTCTCTGTGCTTCGTGGAATATACATAAAATTTTACCTCATCCGGGGTATTTTATTTTTCGTAATCAATTTTCTACAGTGATTTTTAATAGGATGTGTATTAGCAAAAAAAAATAAAATTGTTTATTTAATGTCGATTATTTAGTTGTCAATTTAAATATGTGAATTTACTATTCTAACAAACAATAGGACCGTGTTTTAAATCCGACAAAAAATCGGCGCACAGTTTATTGAGTTTGGAATAAGTATATGAAGGCTTATACAATATGTTACGACTGGACAATCAGCTCCGACCGGTAATTGGTATTTTTTAGTTGATTTAAGTTTTTATCAGTTTTACACACTTACTTCCTTTATTACGTTTAATGTGTTTTAATATGTTAATAAAATTTAACCTCGCTAGTTTCTATTGAAAAATTTATAAAAATTTAAATAAACTAGTGCATATACAATCATGTGCATACCGATTATTATTTTCCAATTTATGCGGGTGTATTTGTAGGAATTTTAATAATAATAATTACTTTTATCAACTGTAAAAAAAAGACTACAAATTATTCCCAACTCAGTGCTCATCACGCCTGTTTCTGCTTGCAGCTATAAAAACGAGTTACCTCATGATAAGGATTTCAAGTTATTATATTGCTGACAGTTAAGGCTTTTCATACAAACTTTCTTGCAATTTAGAGTTGAAAATAAGTTGACTCAGTGATAATATGAAATCCATATTCCTTGTGCTTATAAATATTATGATTTTCCCAGAAGGAAGGTCGCTAAATTTTCAAAGCATATTCCTAGACTTTCTCAACCCTAAGGAACCTGGTATAACGAAAGTAAGAAAAATGGATCTGAAGGATGGAGCTGAGAGAAGACATAACGTAAAAGTATTGGATTTTGTGAGTAAGAAATTGTTTTTAATCAAATTTACATGCATTCTTAGTTAAATCAAAACTGTTAGCTCCATGATAAATATACAATTTCATCTATAGATGAAATACAATTTTACTGTCTTGTTAAACCTACAGTTTTTAAATTTTGTATAAGTATTTTTTGACATTTAGAACAAATAAAGATAAAAATAGGCATGAAATAACGATATCCTGTGGATATTATACATCACGCTATTCTTTTAAATAGATTGGCCTGGTGGAACAATACGGTTATCCCGCTGAGGAGCATAACGTCACAACAGAAGATGGTTATAATTTGAAGTTACACAGGATACCTGGAAGTCCATCGTTCGATATCAAGAATAAGAAAGAAATTGTGTACCTCCAACACGGTCTTGTGGCTTCGTCTGATTTCTGGGTAATGTACGGTACTGGTAAAGACCTTGGTATGTATTTAAACTGATAACATACAATTGCTAACGTAACGTGCGAATCCATTCACACAAGGCATCGTGCAAAATTATACCATACGTTTCCGTGAAAACATCTTACATTCAAATCTTCTAACTTAAAAATTATTAATATCTTGCTATTTCTGTAAATTTGTTCTTATTAAAATTTTGTCAATTTTTTCTACATACAAAAATATCAATACCGTTTTATTTTATTTTAATATAAACTTTTAAGAGATATTGAAAATAAAGAGCTTTTTCATAAATTTCAAATTTCAAAGAGATATTTATAAAAAATGGTGTGTGTGTGTGTGTGTGTGATATTTATCTTTTGAAGTGGAATTAACGAATTATAGAATTGGAAGCATAATCAGTATTTAAAATATCATTTTTTAATATTTTAAAGTTATAAAATATAATTGAGATTATTTTAAAAATTAAGTTTAAATTTTAGAAAAAATAAAGACATAAATTTAGTATATCAGTACATGTGCACAGTTACATCTTAGAATGCAGTTTATTAAAATCTTATATTGCAGCCTTTTTATTAGTAGATCAAGGATATGATGTATGGATTGGAAATACGAGAGGAAATACTTACTGCAGATCGCATATGAATATGACGATATACGATCCTAAATTCTGGCAATTTAGGTAAAACATTACCATTAAAATTATTTTAAGTAAACAATGGAACAACCTAAAAAATTTACTTTTACTACGTAATTACAACCTGCCTAAAATGACATATTTAAGAAGCAAAAACGATAAAGTAATCATTACTTGTATTTAATAGTATATGTATACTTATCAAGTAAAAGAAATATAGATTTAGGAGTTTCTAAAAGAATTATTTATATGCAATAAATACGCAACACATACATAAATAAAAGGATACCAACAAGATTTGTAAACGTTAAAGTTTGCACAGTATTCCCTTACTAGGTATTTATTAACAAAATTATTTATCACGAATTTTCTCGCTATAAATTGTGCGCGTTTATTATAAGGAGGCAAGGGAAAGTGAAAAAATATGTTTGTAAAATTTTTTATTTACAGCTTTCACGAGTTTGGAACAAAAGATCTACCAGCCATGTTCGATTACATTTTCAATTATACACAGCAAACAGATTTATATTATATTGGTCATTCAATGGGAACAACTTTGATATTTACTCTTCTGTCATCAAAACCAGAATACAATATGAAAATGAAAATGGTTATTTGCCTAGCTCCAGTTGCTTTTTGGACGAAAGTAACACCTTCATTCAATGGAATAGCTAATACTCTTTTATCATTGAAGGTAACTGCTCAAACCTGTCACATTTTATTGCAGCACTAGTCTTTAAAATTCAATATTACACAATCATAATTTTTACCATTTAATATATTAAAAATAATGTTGTTACTCTGGCTGAGGTAACATTTTTCGTAATAATTTTCTTTAATTGGAATTTGCCAGTTAGCGTTGTTTAACAATTTTTCTACTTTGGTTAATCATGTACTGTTGTTAAATAATTCTTTACGTTAAAAATATTGTTTGCTATTATGAGCTATTACTTGAATGTTTCTTTTATACGTTTCAGAAACCTTTTAAACAGCATGAAATATACGATATCTTCCCACAATGTTGGTCGACTGTTATGATAGCAAGAACATTATGTAATGACAAAGCAATAACTCAAATTATTTGCGTTACTGTAATGTTCCTAATCGTCGGTCCTGATCCAGCACAACTTAACACTGTAAGTTATATTTATATTATATACATAAACACAAAAAACTAATGTAATAGAATGTTAATAAATTATTTTTATTATATAATATAAATTTTCTAATTTTTTATAATTATATACATTCAGAATTTATTTTTACAATTATAAGGCTTGAATAACTTCGTACTTTCTTTTGTTAATTAAACGTTTTATGACTTTTTACCTGTAGAAATTATTTCTGTTATAGACAACCTTGCCAGAATTATTATCCCATTTTCCAGCTGGTACTTCTACACAAACATTCGATCATTATTACCAAAATTTACGTAAAAGTGAGTATACTCACTTCCATAATAAAAGTATTCCCTTTCATAAAGAACTGGTCCCTTTAATGTAATGTTACAGTAAAACATTGGTTGCCATTTTGAATCGTTGAATCGTGGGAAGATTTAAATTAATTTATAATTTTCTGCAGATTAATTTACACACATGTGATTACTTAACTTTTTTTTTCAAATGTACTGCTAAGTTTTGGATCTTTATAAATCATAGCGATTGTTGCAGATGAGTTTCGAATGTATGATTATGGCGTGGCTGAAAATTATAAGCGATACAAACAGAAAAAACCCCCGAGTTATGATCTTAAAAAGATTACAGCCCCGACAGTTTTAATTTACTCAGATAATGATTATCTTGTTCCAGAAGAGGTAATAGTTTTCAATTACCAGATTTTTACTCACTAATAAGAGCAAAGGAAAAATTTTTATAAGTACAACAAAATGATAATATATGATATAGTTCTTAAGACGAATTTCAATTAAATACAATGCAAAATGTAAAAGAAAAACCATTGGTTTATATCAATTTGATGATCTGTTTTCTATATTCTTCATATATTTAAATTATCTCGTTATTAATATTGTTGCTTTCTTCATCTTTTTACTTTTAGAATGTGCTGGAACTTAGCAAACGTTTACCAAACGTTCTTCTAACGGAGAAAGTTCCATATAAACTTTTCAATCACGCAGATTTCGTGTGGGCAATTGACGTGAAAACTCTTTTATACGATCGTATATTCGAACTAATACAAAAGTTTGATGTTAAACAAAATAAATTTCTGAAATGAATCTAATTAATAATACAAATGAAAAGAAAAGTAGTCTTACCTTTCGTATAGAAATTGGAAAGTTGATAAACGTAGAAGTGTTAATAAAATTAATAATTTACATACATGCCTGTGTATTTTTAAAATTATAATGCTAATATAAAATTTTTAATTATTACGTTAACCTGGTTTAATAATTATATTATTTATTAAAATATTGTTTATTAAAAACAACAGAAAAATTCTATGTCAGACATTTCGGTCACTAAATGTGTGACCCTTTTCAATAATTATTTATTAAGAATTCAAAAAATATTGTATATAATATTGGCCATCAAGACGAGAAAACCGAGTTCACAAAGATAGAATAGCTTTCGCGTCCAAAAACAATTTATTGTATATTGCATAAATTATAAAGTCTGTAATGCATCGTATATCGGATAGCCTGGCAGATTATTGTCAATCCGTATCAACGAACATAAAAGATTAAACTCTGCTAATCCGTCTGTTATACATGCATATTGCATACATTGTTTCGACGTCGATCGACGAGTCATTTACATATGACTGGGTATTTATGCATGCTTATGCGGAAAAAAGTTTTTACCGAGTACTTGCATCACTCTTGCTTGACTATTCTACTGTACAGGTGTTTCTTTATTTAGAACATAATGATTACAGTTGTAAAAAATATACAGTTATCAACAACCTTGGAATCTAAAGTTATACTTTCATAAAGGTGAATTCAGAAAAATACGACACGAACCAATGCTGGTACAAGACAGTATTAAAACATGCGTTTTAAATGAGACAATCTACAGTAACCGCGCGTTCGGGCAATGGAACAGTGGTGTTGGTTTGTGTAGACAGTCTCACTTAAAACGCATGTTTAGTATTTATGGTAACCTTGAAAAATTTGTTCTAACTTTATTAAAAGAAAGTAATGAAAAAAGTCTTTCAAAAGTTACATAAATATAGGAATTATTTTTATTATTTGAAATAGTGAAAAAAACTAAAAACAAGTTGTACGGAAGGGCGAAAGTCTAAAGTAACGTTATAGACTTTACTGACAACGAGTGTATATAACTCGAGGAATGCAACTGGTGATTCCAGATAGATTTGTATAGTCTCTTGTATTAGGTGTGTATACTCTTCGTGCTTAGTGGAATATAATGAGAATGTAAATCGCTTTTGTAATATCTAGGAATTTTTTGTCACACACAATTAAAGACGTTTCCTTCAAGTTTCTTGAATTTTCTTAACAAATATGCGTATATTTCGATAAGTAGGGGAACCCGGGGCATAACGGGAACGCTAAGGTTAAAATTAATTTTAAACAAAATGAAAATACATAAATGAATTATTTTTTTACGAAAATATTCTTTGAAATGTCTACTATAAGAAAAAAAATGGTTTT